GTAATGTTCATCTGCTATAGTGCAGATCTCAATATGTCACAGAAAACATCAATAGTTGTGGGGAGAAAAGATGCATAGCACATAGAAAGGCATTTTGAGGTGACGTGCTTAAAGAAATAGGATAAAATGATAATGTTGCAAAATGTAATGCTGGTTAATTTTACTTTTGGTTGCATCTTATAATTGTCTTTCTCTTTGTGTCAGTGGAAAGGAGGGCAGGCAGTGATGTAAGAATGAATGTTGGGGAAGTGTGAATTTGTGAGTCATAACTGCTGCTTTAATGAAATGGTGTCAGATTGGGTTTATATATCAAGGGACGGAAAAACTCCTTTTCTATAAAATAACAAATTGTTGCACTTCAGAGAAGACTCGGATTTACAGATTTACAGGGAAAATAAGACAAAAGTGTTTTCATTTCTCCACTGTGAAGTGAGAGGAAGTACAAACAAAAAGTTATATTTAGTAAGCTCAAAAAAAAAGAAAAAAAAAACCCATACCGTTATTTAAATAATATTTTTTTAATATGTTTAAAAGTTTTATCCAAACATCTAAACATTCATGGGTCCATCAATACCCCGTCTGTCTGCACACTGAGGGGACACAGCCTCTCTTTCCTCTCTCTTTTTCTCTCCTACGTCTGCTGGCCACATACAAGGCCCTCCATTCAAAGACCCTCCTCTTCCAGCCACAGTGGTCCCCTGAGGTGTCTCTGTAGACACTGAGCTGCCTGGGATTGAAGTGTTAGACTAAAGGAGCCAGTGAGGCCCATTGCATCTTCCTCGCTGCTGACTGGGCTCTACAGGGTTTCCTTTGATTTCTACTCCCCACTTGGTTCAAAGCCTCATGAAGAAGCCATGTTTTAGAAATTATATGAGGAGTTGGATTTCAAGATCTGGTTAAATCTTATGCTTTTTTGTAGAAAAGGAAGTTGCAGCACATTGGAATTCTTGCAGTGTTCCAGCAACTGCTTGAAAGAACCTTAAAATGTCAAATATTTTTACCAGATCTGTCAGAAATATAGAGAGTAACCGCCAATTACTGTATTGCATTAGGATCTTATCACTGCCTAGACAATAAAGATTTTAAAATGAGGCTTAGATTAGTTTGTTTCTTTGTTTGTTGTTGTTTCATTGCTGACACAGCTGTGAATCAGAACTTTTATTACAGAAATATGAAGTTTGTACATTTCATAATGTTCCGAGCTCAAATGACACAACTTGCAGCATTTCAAATAAGATTATAAAAAGGATAATTGATATATATTTTTATTCCTTTTTACAAAATGGCTATAAAGGCTATATCCAGGTTTAAGTCTGGACTTAAAGTTGGAAGTTTGTCCATCACACATCAACTCTGAAGAAGAGCCTCCTCACAGCATGATGCTCCTCACAGCAGCAATGTCATGTTCATATGTAGTTTGTCTTCCATTAGGCATTTCAGTTTAAATATATTCCAAAAAGTTAGTTTTTTTTTTTACATATCTGCTATGCCTCTTACGTGACTTATAACAAACTGCCCACAGGATTTTATGACTTTCTATGAACAATCACTTTCCTTCTGCTATTTATCCAGTAAACATCATTTGGGGTCTTCAAAGCCATCCATTTCTTTAATTACTTTTGTCTCAAATACAGTTGTATTGTGTTATGCATGGTATTTCCATTATGATAATAAATTGCATTTTTTTATTTGAAAGAAATTAGATTTTTTTTATGGGCCCTAATATTGTCTGTTTTGTCTAGAAACATTTTAAGTGATGCATGCATTTATGAACCTGTATACCAATTGAGTCATTTTCATGTGCGTAATTACTTCATAAACAGAAAAAAAAGCCTAATGCTTTGTTTATGAAACAAAGCTTCAAAAACATGATTGATTGATTGATTGATTGGTTGATTGATTCTGATTAAATGTTGGGCAACTTATTAAATAATAGTAAGTTGTGCAGGAGTATATGACCAAACTTGATATCTTAAAATAGGCACAGTAGTTCTGCTTAATATTTTAAATAGCCTTCTAAGTCCTATTAAAACTAGTAATGCTGTAATTGTTTTTAATTTATGTTCCAGCTTGCAAAATGCTTCTGTTTATAAGATCTCTGCTATTAGAGACTCAACCAATTCTGGTTTAATTGTTTATTCTTCTATAAACGCAGCTTACTCTCTCTTTTTTTTAGATCTTTGAACTTGTTTCGGTCAATGATCTGTCTGATCTTGTGCATAAGGTAAGACCCTCTAATTGTCAACTTGTTGGTTTTCCTCCAAATTTACCAGAAGGACCAGTAGGACCTTATTTATTAGGAATTATAAAATGTCCTCAGGCTGTGTCTCAAGCTTTTTAAACATGCTGCTCTTCAGCCATTGTTTAAAAAAGGCAAAGCCCATTCCTAAAAAATATGACAAAGTATAGGCCTGTTTTCAATAGCTTTTTGTCAAAATAAAGATAGTCCTTGAAAAAATTTATATTGAAACAAATAACATCTTAGAAAAATTATATCAGGGGAATTATAACTGGATGACTGAGAATCTTGACAGATATTCTCTAACTTATGTTGCTCTAGAGTTTGCCTTTCATACCCTTCATTACATGTTGTTTGGATTCCTGCTATTCTTTGCATTCTGGGGTCAATCAGGTCTCCAGTCATCGCCTGCAGATAGTTCAGAAGGGTGCAGCTCATATGCATACACATACAGTAATCCCAGTGTTGGCTTCACTGAACTTGCTTCCAGTCAGCTACAGGATTCTTTTTCAAGATATTTGTGATTATTTTAAAATGTTTGGATAATTTAACTCCACTCTATCATTCTGAGCATCTGATAAGACCGGAAGCTAAACTGACTTTGGTTGGTCCAAACTGTTGGCTGAAAACTAGAAGGGACTGAGTATTTGCTGTGGCTGCACAACAACCCTTGACCTGCCTTCCTTTAAATATCCAAACCCACCTGTTTGCGCTGGCTCAAGTTCAGCAAATTGTGTTGTGAATTTGTTTTAATTCTTTATATAAATATATAAAATAAATGTATTAGTGCAATGCAAGCAAACAATTATCTTTTTTTATTTCTCCACTGATAAAATATTCTTAATACAAGGTGGGATTGTTATTTAAAATCTATCATTGCAAAATTATGTTGTAATAAAAGATGAACATACTTTAAACCTCTTAACACACTCCTACTATGAATATAAATCATTGTAGAGGGCACTTATGTAAGCAGGTATGTATTATTTGCACAAATTAGCATTTGAACATGTACCGAACAAGGAATGCGCTGTTCTTCTACATGTTGTGCAAATTGTATGGCATTTAGAAACCTGTTAAAAAAATTATCCTTCCTGGTGAGATCTACACTGAGATCAAAATGTGCTTCTCTTTTGCTTTTCTCTTAATTACCACCAAATCATTGGCAGTTAAAAATTACAATGAACGACCTTGCAGCTAACTTCAAGGTACCACTTTAAAGTACATGATTTTGTGACTCTTGTGTGGATTATGGCAGGGGCTCTTGAATGCAAGGACCTGGCAGACTCACATTTATTATCTAAGATTCATTTGTTAGAATATTACAATTTCAGAAAATAACCGCTGATGTTCTAGTTTGATCTCTATTAAGTTTCATTTTACTGGATAAATAGTGTTTCATAAAGTTGTTAAGAAAAACATTAGAATTCCGTTAAATGTTCAGTTTTAGGGCTTTCTATGGGATTTCTTATCGTTTATTGCAGATTTAATTTGAATCATAAGGAACCCTGCAGTCACATATGTCTAATAATACACAACCCTCCTAAGTGGATACCTTCTTAGGAATTGTGCTGTGAAAAAGTACATGCCATCTCACAACTTTCTTGTATTTTGTTTGATTGTCACACTGCAATATTTTAAATCATGTATAAAAAAAACAGATTTTAACAAAAACAACTTCAACAAACACAAACATGAATGTCTGTATGATAGTCTAATAGAAAAGAAAAAAAGACCTATGTAAAATTATATAATAATCTCTGTATTTAAATCGAGAAATGTGTGATCAACATTTGTTGATTCAGTTTCACCACACACAAACCCACCTGATTCATGGCATTCATGACTCATCCAGGAGGTCACAAAACAACCCAGAACAGAGCACTGCAGGCCTTACTTGCCTCTGTGAAGGTCGGTGTTCATAATTCAGCAGTAAGAAAGAGAGGAAATAAAACTCTATCAGAGAGATTCAAGGGCAAAACTACTGCTGACCAAAAGGGACACAATGCTTAGCCATGCATTTTCCAATTCATGTCGATGTTCCAAAAGAGTTTATGCCAAATTCTTAGTTACTTTACATTTTGGAAAATAACTTGGCTTTCAAAGATAGATAATTTAAATTGCATGTCTGTCAAGTTGTCTGTCCGTCTATCTAACCATCAAAAGCTGTATGAGCTATGCCGGTTTTCCTTGTTATCAATCCTTGCCCAGAGTGAGTCTCAAAGATCAGATGCAGCAGAGGATTTCTAGTGTTAACTATCATTATCTCACAGACCTCGCAACAGTCCTGCTGCATTTTAAGATAAACAACATCAAAGCAAAAAGGGAGAAAAATGAATCCATAGCAGCCTGGAGTATTTTAGAGTTAAAATTATTTAGATTTTACAAGCTACTCTACTTACATAAAGCTTCAATATTAATTACTTATAATATCCCTATTAACATCTGTTTTTTACAGATTCTCTTAAGATTTAAAGTTATTAAATTTGATCAACAAATGAAAATTATTTGCCAGGTTTGCTTTGCACGTGATCTTATCAGCTCCCCACACACTTGATCTTTGACCCTTGAATATGTATATATTATATAGTATATCTATTCAATACTTCTAATCGAATAAAGGTAACACTAAGCTGATGTCGTATAGCTACGTTGAGTGACAGCCTGGTCTGTTAGAGATGAGTAAAATGAGGCAGAGAGGAGAAGGAGGACTGACACAGAGCTGGCTCAGTGAGTGAGGCGCACATTATTCAGCAGGAGCGAAGGAAGCGCGCGCCTCCTCTCCATCACATTTCACTTTCCAAACACTGACGAGAGAACAAAGGAGTCACCATGTAGAATCCGCCAGGTAACACTCACAGTATCTCGGATCAAGCCGTTTTATTTTTTTCTCTGAGGATTCCCAGCTCCGATTGTGCCGCTTTGGAAGGCTGTCGATCCATCCATCCTGGAGGAGACGCGCTGCTCGCTGGATGGATGCGGGCTCCCGTCCTCTGTCGCTCTGACTCCTACAGACTCTGTGTTCATTAAGAAAAAACCTTGATGATCTGGCTTTGACGGGAAAGTTTATCGCTGATTTGGTGAGTATCTTACATTTGTTCTGGAAATTGTCAAATTTAAAATATGCTTTGGGTGTGAATATTCAAAAATTTTTGGAGAAGTTATTATTTGGAGGCTTCTTGGAAGGAAACGCGTGCCAATTTAAATAAACACATCAGCTGACATGACAAATCTGAAATCAGTTTTAGATAAAGTTATAATCTGCATGTATAAAATGAATGCTAAATAAAATAAAAATAAATAATAACGTTGCTGCAGCTTTTTCTTAAACGGGTTATTTTGTAGTTTATATTCAACAGGTTTGATTCAGTTTTTGTGAGCTTCTAAATTGAAAATGATGTGCATCAGGTATATGGTTGATCATTTCTCATTCACAGTTTGACTAGAAAACTTTCCAAACTATATATAATGTTAATTTTAATGTTTACATTCGAAGTCAAAGCTGCAGGAAAATCAGACCATTGGCTCTACCTATTTTTGATTTTCTTTTTTTAACCATAGCTGTTTGTCACATGGCCCATAGCCATTTTCTTTATAATAAGATTATGCAGATATATAAAAAACTAAATTGACTTAATATATATAAAAAAAGAAACGAGCAATAATAATAATTTAAAAAATTTCCACCTTATGTTGGATCCTTTATTGTGGTACATGCTTAGATAAATATCTGTTTTAATAAATACATTTTTGATAAATATATTTTTAATATAAGTTTTATACACGGTGAAGCTCACATGTTGTATGGATTTCATATACAATTCCAGTTTTTAGTAATTCAGAATATTACATATAACACCAATTATGTTTTTAACTAAGAAACTAAAGAAATGGTTGATGTGACCTATATAGTAATGCAGAGGACTAATGACTTGACAGATTTCCATCAGCTGTCACTGGAGTCTACCTGACACAAATAAAAAGATGAGGAAAAATATGTTTATTGTATGACTGCATATAGTACGGCTATACATTTTGTACGGCTAAATCTGTGCGCATTTGGATGAAAAATTTGTGCTGTTTAATAAAGGATTAACATCTATCAAAATGTTTTTGTTCTCAAAAAAGCTCAGGGCTCTTGTATGATACACAGCTTTGATTTATAAGATATTCTACTCATGTTCAAATTTGAGTTTGCAGTCGTAGAAATAGCTAAATCATTCAATAAGGGTTCCAATTATATGAAATATGTTTTATATTTAAAATTTTAACAAAACCATATTTTCTAATTTAGAAGTGTTCTAAAAAAACATCACAAGTATGGGAGGTACAATTAAGAACATGTAAGTTTTGTAGGTGTAAATGTGAATTTCTTTCACAGTATCAGCTGATTCTGTCAGTCACTTAAAATATATCTTTTTATGAATTACCTAACTTACAGTATCTCACTTCACTAATTAAGAAATGATTACACATCTTGGTTGTTATGGGTTATTATAGCTGATATAGTTTTGATAAGTTATTTTACAGATCATCGTTTATGTCTGTCAAAGTGGCTTAATATTATTTTATCTTTTTCTGTTTGATTTAAACAATGGTGAACTCAGTAGCAAAACATTTTATCTGACTTTATAGCAGCAAGCAATCACTGGCAGTCATTTTTTTATCAGCTGCGCAGCTGCTAATTTTGACATTTGTCTTTTTTTTTTTTTGCACAAATCTTCCTTAGATGCAAGTTCCTTCTAAGAGCAGTGACGTCTAAAGGAAGCCTTAGACCTACCTTCTGCTTTGTAATGGCAACAGGAGTAGCAGCATGGCTTCCATTTGCTAGGGCTGCGGCCATCGGGTGGATGCCTGTGGCTAGCTGCCCCATGCCCATTGCTCCGAGAGACAATAGCAAAAAACAAGATGAGCTGATCGTCCTTAATGTCAGCGGCCGCCGTTTTCAAACATGGAGAACAACTTTGGATCGATACCCTGACACGCTTCTGGGCAGCTCAGAGAAGGACTTCTTCTACAATGAGGAAACCAAGGAGTACTTCTTTGACCGAGACCCTGATGCCTTTAGAAGCATCCTCAACTTCTACCGAACAGGAAAGCTCCACTATCCCCGTCATGAGTGTATCTCAGCCTACGATGAGGAGCTGACATTTTTCGGCATTATACCTGAGATCATAGGTGACTGCTGCTATGAAGAGTACAAAGACAGAAAAAGGGAGAACTTGGAGCGGCTGCAGGATGACCAGGAGGAAAACAAAGACTTGAAGCAGCCCAATTTAAACTTCAGAGAGACCATGTGGCGCGCCTTTGAGAATCCCCACACCTCTACCCTGGCCCTGGTCTTCTACTATGTCACCGGCTTCTTCATTGCCATCTCAGTCATCACCAACGTGGTGGAGACGGTGCCCTGTGGTTCTACAACCAACCAAAAAGACATGCCATGTGGCGAACGCTACACTGTGGCATTTTTCTGCATAGACACTGCCTGTGTCATGATATTCACTGTGGAGTACCTACTACGCCTGTTTGCTGCACCCAGCCGTTACCGTTTCATGCGCTCTGTGATGAGTATCATTGATGTGGTGGCCATTTTGCCATACTACATTGGGCTTGTGATGACAAACAATGAGGATGTGAGTGGTGCCTTTGTGACGCTGCGTGTGTTCCGAGTGTTTCGCATCTTCAAGTTCTCCCGCCACTCCCAGGGCCTTCGGATCCTTGGCTATACGTTGAAGAGCTGTGCCTCAGAGCTAGGCTTTCTCCTTTTCTCTCTCACCATGGCCATCATCATCTTTGCCACGGTCATGTTTTATGCCGAGAAGGGCTCCAGCTCCACCAAGTTTACCAGCATCCCAGCTTCATTTTGGTACACCATTGTCACCATGACTACCTTAGGGTGAGTACAACATATATGTACAGGGTGTTTATGTTTGTTTAAGTAATCCAATAACTATGAGCTAAATAAACTCACTAGATGAGTTTGTTTGGAGTTTTTCAACAGATTGAATAATTTATGAAAACTACTTTGACTTTTAAATGAGAGCTGAGGCAGCCTGCCTCCATGCTTTAGTACTTCACAGCTTATTGGAGACTGTCAGTGTGACTTATCTGGAGCAGTTTAGCATGTATCCATCAGGATAAACACTTGTGGGGTTTTGTTTGTTTTATATAACAAGGCACTGGTTGAGTACACTCTAAATATTTTCATATTGAAAAGATGCTACTAAAGTTGGAGTTGGTGTTGGCCCTTTTACCAGATGATATCTAAAATGAATTCTGTTCATCATACTTTTTTTCCTTGCATTCAATTAGTTGGCTTAAAAACAAATTTTAAATCTTTGAAATATTAACAACAATTTATCCTTTTTGCTTTGGTGCATTGTCTTTTTTTTCCGCTGAATTTTGTGTAAAGCTGCTTTCTGTGGAAGCAGCTGAACTGCATTACAAAGTGAGAGTTCTCCTCTGTATGTCTGAAGGTGGTGTCCCCTGAGAATGCCCGGTCACCTTTATAATGATTTCTCACTGCTCCTAATCGCTCCCTCCTGCTCGCTCAGAATCTATGACATAAATGGCAAGGTGAATTTATAGTCCATGAAAAGGGTTTCAATAGTTTGGCTTGGCATCATCTCTAAGAAAGGGAGTAATATAAAGAAATGATAATTCTCTGAATATTCAAGTACTGAGCAATTGTTCAATCATAACCTCAGAAGCATTGTTTAGAAAAGAAGCAGGAGACAGACATCAAGTCCAAATTCTGGTATTTTAGAGAGTTAAATAGATGCAAAAATACAAATAAATAAATAAATTATACTTTTCCTGGACAAGTGGAGACTCCTAGACTTCCCTGTCCCCAGACGCCCAGAGACTATATCTGTATCTGATTTCAGCTGCTGCGTCCTCTAAGGACCCGGTATACCTGTCCTGGGTCCTTCGAGACAGGGTAAAGAACTCCTGCTGACAATATTCACTTTACCTCAAATAGCTCAAGCTACTCGTGGTGGGGGAGTAACCAAAGCTTTGTATTTTTTTATTCCCATTAACTCAGAGATTTGAATCAAGTAAGGGTAGCTGTATTCTTAATGACACACCACTGACTTTGTGACCGAAAGACATAACGTGTATGAGTTGTTTTCCTCAGGCCAATATACAGCACTATGAGCGGGGCTCCCCTCTTAAAATACCTCCTATGTAGGTTGGGAGAAGACACAACGTGGCTGACCAGGTCATGTGACCTGGAATAACGCCCTGCCCGACCCTGTGGCTCTTCACTGGAGCTCCGCTGCTGGTCCTCCATGCCACATGGTGCGGTCCGGCCTGTCCTGGCGGTGCTCTCCAGAATACAGCAAAGTTTCCCATGCCCTCTGAGCTGAACCTAGATGTATAGTGAAGCCCCCAATCATAAGACACAGAAGCTGGCCGGCTGACTGTTGACTTTTTCAACAGTACAGCGCCGCTTGTGGCCACTAAGGGCACTAGACGTGAAAGTTACATAGTGTGCCTTTAAGTAAATTTAAGGAAAAGTACAACTTCACCTAAAAGTAATTTCGTTTCTAAAAGTACCGTATTTTCACGACCATAAGGCGCACCGTACTAAAAGGCGCTGTCTCAGTTATGTGTCCCATTTCTGTATTTAACACACACATAAGGCGCACCGGACTATAGGGCGCGTTTTTTTATATACCGGTACATGTCCTCTACTACC